ATTGGATGTGTGGGGAATGTTTAAATAATTTAAAGGCCAAAATTTGCCAAGCAACTCAATTTACACATTAAAATAAGTGACAAATAGACAGCATATCCTACAGTATGTGCAAATTAGATTGTCCTGTACAGTACAGCATGTCCTTGCATTGTTGTGATTGTTGGAAGAAGACTTAATCACATAAAGGGTTATTTTTAGCACCATCCTGCAGACTTTAATTATTGATGATGTGCATTGCTTATGGTCATTATTATGTTTCTTCGCTCTTTTGGCTGAACAGAGCTATTGTTTTTGACGTGACCTTTGATATAATGGAAAAGAACTTAAGAGTTAAAGACAAAGTGTGTTATCTCTTTTGCTTTTCAAATTACACTGGGTATTATTTCATAAAAAGGTTCACAGCTGTGAACAATAAACGTGTCTGGTAAGGGCTCTATCTTATAATTCAGTTTCAGAGCATACAAAGACACTGAGATGATCTGTTATCACAAATTATGTGGTGGATGATTTTATTAACAATGCAGGCAACAGCACCAGGCTGTTGAAAGGGCGGTTAAAATTCACTGTAGGCACCATGTACCCATAACTTCTACATACTTTCACTGTATGAAGAGGCAGATTAATTGCTACACAATGTGTCTTAAGATTTCTCCACATCAATGTGAATGTGACGCACTGAGTCCAGCTCTATGCCAACCCCCAGTGGTTCGGGATACATGACAGCACATATACCTTGAAAAACCATATATTTGTCCTGTTTTTGTCAGTTGATAGCTTTAATCAAAGGTATGAAAGTATGTTTTTGTCAACGTGAAGAAAATACAAGAATAGCCCACCTGTTTTATTGATCTTTTTACATAAATGTCTGGTTGGTATTCTGCAGCTGGTTCTGTCCTGCCTGACTGATTCTCATACTGCAAGACAGCTTCATCATACACATCAACCTGCCTTATATTCCACGGGTGAGTAATGACTTTATTTCATCATGTCTAATGAGCATCAGAGGGCAGAGACTATCACTAAAATTAAAGAGTCCCAGTGGAATAGGAGTCTGTTTCAAGCCTGGCTCTGCAGATCAATAAACGGGAAGAAGCTGGTAGTCTTTCCTAAGTAAAAGGTGTTTCAGTCGCTGCCTGCTGTTTGGTTCGATTCCTCCCGTCTCCCATCATGCATGACACGTTGGTCGTGCCACTGCCAAGGCAGATGTGTTTACTTTTCTCTGCTGTCGTCAGTGAGGCAACACCACGTTGCCGACTCATGTAGGACAGCACACACAACACATGTGCACACGTGTTGAGACGATGTTTCCTGTGAGCTACATGAGGACAACAGCTGACAAAACCACACCAACGGACTTCTCACCAGTATGCCTGCTTGTCTGGCTGATCTGCCGTCCTCTAGTTTATAGGAACAGCCACTAAACAAGGCTCACGTTGTGCTGTTGCTCTACCATCACTGCAGTGTTAGAGAGGAACTTCATTATATTGCTTCAAGTGAAATAACTTGAGTCACTGTCAGTTGGGTTAGAAGACTACAGGTTTGAACATGAAAATAAAAAGTGTGGAGCTAGGAAGAAGTGAGGTTACAGTACTCCTCCTCTCAGCTTGAGGCTCGAGGCTCAAGAAAATATTCACTCTGACTTGAAACATATTCTGGATCATTCAGGTGACAAGCAAACTCCAGGACTTCTGGGTAAACACAAGGTTAGGGCATCCCAGCACCATCATAATCTCTTTCCATTTCATCTCTCTTTGTCCTCCTCTAGGTTGGTTTCAACACTTATCACCCAAATTGCTAACAGAGAGGTCATTAGCCTCATTGTGCCTCATGCTGTGAGTGATTACAGCGCCAGCTGTGGAGATTAAGATGGGAATTCTCTGGCGTTATTGCGCGGTGGAGTGGGATTCACAGTGTTGACCCTTTGATCAGTGACAGAGCCAGAGAACGCACAGCCAGGTGGAGTGGAGATTGTGCTGATGGCATGGGGCCTAATCTCTGGATTATCTGTCATGCTTCTCCAGTGTGCACACAGCTAATTAAGAGTTGGAGTTGTATGTAGCAACATCACATCACGGGGGCGCATTATTTAACTCCCAAAGTTTTAAATTGGACTTTCATGTAACAGCACCTTACTCATTCACTTTGGCTAATTGGTTGTAATCGCAGAGTGATCGTGCATGTCAGCAAGTCATTTTCTGCTCATGCTGTCAAGTTGGCAAGAAAGTTCATACTGTGCCGCTTCAACAAAATCCATTGTACTCATTGTGCATGAAATGTCTGCAGACATCATTAATGTCTGATTCAGTTAAACATTAAGGACAAATTAGAGCTTTGTGATGCACTCATGGCCTGTTCGTGGTGTTTCCCATATCTCCCATATTTCCTATATGCAACTTCAGCCACTGGTGGAATGTAACTGTGTACACTTATTCGAGTGTTGTACTCAAGTGCGAGTTTGAGGTACATTTTCTGCTACATTCTACTTTTACTTCACCTCTTCTGAAGTGAAATATTGAACCTTTTATCATGGTAAATTAATTTCACAGCCAAAGTCACTATACTTGTTACTTTTCAGATGAAGATTTGGCACAAAAAGTGCATTGCTAAAGATGAAATGTTCATTCTCTTTTAAACTGCTCTCTCTGAACTCCAGTTCTAGCTCAAGAACATCTAGTTTGTGAACCATTTCTCCTTTTAATGGTACACTTTGTTTTTTTCTTTGTCTGCACAGACTGTTCTCAGCTGGAGGATAAAATAAGCATCCACTTGGTGCTGGGCCGGAAGATACACACTTCTCACAAACAGATTGTGTACAACATATTGACTGCAGTCACGGCCGTGCTTGGATGCAGGTCTGTGCGTTAAACATGCAGGCCCAGAGATCAGCCCAGCCTCTTCTGCTCCTGCTCCTGTTCTTGCTGCTCCTTGCCAGGCTGTCACAGCTGTGGGCCTTCCCCTTCAGCCCATCACTGGACCTGGATGTCACACCCAGGACAACTGTCTTCTCCAAAGGTGAGGGACAAACTATCTGGTGGAACAGAGGTTTTTGACCTGTGGCCCTTGCTCTCCTATAGGCACATGGGAGGCTGTATACCTGCTGATGTTTCAAAAACTAAGAGAAGTTAGTTACTGTAGTTTGCTCTGCTGGTTTAGCCCAGTTACTAGCATGGTCATCACTTCACTGCAGCTCAGAGACAAATAAGATATGTAATTCTATTCCTTATAAATGAGTCAAATCTGACTTTGAAAACCCCTCTTAGATGTATTAATGCAAACGCACGTGCACAAGCTCACTACACACTCTTATCTGATGCTGTTCTGGCTCCTTCCTCCCCTCCCTGTTAAAGAAGTGGCACAGTTTTTGAAGTTGGCCCTGAAGACAGCTCCTTCATCCTCAGAGTTATTAATCGCCTCTCCCAAGCCTTGTCCTAGATCACACGGCTCAGCAAACACTTCTAATGAAACAATAGACAAGAGGCCCACATAAAAGAGAACCTGACTCATGTCTGGGCAGAAAATACTGCTGAATAGGTGTGTTTTGGCGCAAACTGGATATTTCATACCTTTCCCTCTTCACTTCCCACCAACTCACCTTTCCCCTCCCTCTCTCCTCACTCCCCATCACTGCGGCAGAGGCTACGACTGCAGCTGCAGCAGGATGGGAGCTCCAGTAATAGCAGACTGATCCGATAGCTGCGCTCATACCTCTACGGTGCTCCCCCCCCCCCCCCCCCCTAGTTGAGCGCTTCGGTGTAATATCATAAGTGCTGTTGCAGTGTGAGATGATGTTTTAGCGATAGGAGGATACGCTGCTCGACATTCAGAATCACAGTCAGTCTAAGAGATGGTAGAGGAGGAGCCACTGTTAACTGTGTTTGCTACCTTATGGTTCCTTTTTTGATCCAAATAGCATTGTTTTGATTGCTGTTTGCTGGAGAGAGAGAGGAAGTCCTCATTCATGGTCCAAGTTCTGCTTCACAATGCTCCGATTTGTTCTGCTGTAGAGAAATACTGAGTAAAATGTATTGATGGCAGACAGCGCAGCTCTAAGAAATCCTCAGATACTGAATGCAGCACTAGTTTTACAGCTTCTGCTGTGAAGTTGTTTACTACAGCCACTGGGAGCTGACAGCACTGGGCTGATCACTAAAATCAGTACAGTTATTTATTAAGCAAATGGAAAGGACACAATCGATAAAGTGAAGAGTTCATAGGATGGGGCTGCTCGTATGATTCACAAAGCCTCATCAAGTAAGCTTGCAACAGAGACAGAAGTCATTGTCTATTCTGAAAGCCTCTTCCAAATTGTCGTGCCTCTGACAGTTTATTTACACTCCGCCTCGAATTAAATCTCTGTCCTTACCGTGGGCGCTTTTCTGTGCCCGAGCCAGTCTGTCATCGCAGATTTTGTTTTTCTTTCTGCCCTCATAGAAAGTTGTCCTTGACCTACTTTCTAATCATCAGGGGAGGTGTGTGAGTGCATGTGAAAGTGCACCGTGTGCTCGTGACTCATCCAATGTGCTTCATCAGTTTCTATATGTGCTAAAGTACAGGTGCATGTGCGTGTGTATGTGTGTGGAGAAAGGGCTATTTAGGCATGCATTTATTCACATCATGTAAAATCTGGACACATGCATCTCGTGTCCCTACATCCTCTGTGTCTCTTCGAGGCGACGTTGTGTCAGCCTGGGTGTGTACTACTGTATTGGAAACAGGGTGAATGTTGTATATGGGTGTCACTACCTATGGGAAACTCTGTGGGAGGATTTATATTAGGTTTCTCAGCTGGACTGAGGAGGCGCTCATTAATTTACAGTTTGCTGTACAGATGGCCTGCATGAGTGGGAGTACAAGGGCACGCTATACCAGAGGGAGCTCAGATTTACTGTGTAAGAAGGCAAACGGACACAAAAGACTTCATGCAGTCTTGCATGGATGATTCAAGGAACAGGTGCATGTTGCAGAAATAAAAAAGAAAGGATCCTGCATTTCTCTCAGAGGCTGGAAATCAAACCATCAGGCAGCTGCTGCTCCATGTGTGCTGGATGCCGCTGTTTGCTTGTCTTTACAGCTTTTTTTCTGCTGCCCTCAAGCGGCCCAAAATTCATAAATAATATCAAAATATCATATGTACCGTAGCATTTCACACATCCAGTAGAGCTGCAGCAATTGGCTGATTAATCTCTTACTTGATTAGTCAATCAACAGTTGACTAACTGCCAGATGTTTATGTGAGGTTTTCTGTTTGGTTTACACTGTTTTTCATTATTTATTTGTTATTCTTGTTTTATCTTATTCTTTAGTTTTTATTTTATTGTGAATTACTTTGTAAACTGGGTTTAGAAAGGTGCTTTATAGATAAACTTTATGCTTTTAACAGAAATTTAATCTGGAACTGTTTTTGTAATATTCCAGCATGATTGTAACGTTAATATCTTTAGGCTTTGGACTATTAGTCAAACAAAACTAGATATTTGAAAACAGCGCCTTGGATGGTGGGAAATAGCAACAGGCAGGATTTTTTTTCTTTTTTGACATTTTATAGAGAAAACAATTGAGAAAGTAATAATGTGGCCCTGGAATCAAATATCGTAGTTTAACAGGCACATTTCATGACTCAGCTTGTTTGTGTGCTTATGTTGCACGGTGGCTGTTTTCCGCTCCCAGAGGGGAGATTAGCTTGACTGTGCTCTGAACTTGGCTGTTTGCCTGTGGGGGTACCTGCTTTGACTTTTTCTGCCTCTCCCACCAGACCTGAAGTAATGCAGCTGTGAAATATTGATGCACTATAAGCTGCTCTGACAACCTGAGATGGAAAAGAGGTCCTGATGGTTAGCACCATTGTTATTATTATTCTTATCGTGATGGTCGAAATAAACCCTGCCAACTTTATGCTTTTTGTTCAGTAGATGAAACATTTTCTTCATCCAGTGTGATAATTACAGCACCAAGAAAAACGCCCAGTGAGGCCAATTTTCTCTTCTGTCTATTATAGGCTTAGCAAACAGGCCGAGCAGCTGCGTCTACTGAATCCTGAACGCAGAATCAGTGATGATTTACTCACATTTTCAGCTTGGCCGTGGCTGCTTTGACTGACGTTGTTTAATCACACCACACTGGCATCATTTGGTTTTCTTTCTGTGGCAGCGTTTAATGCTTCAGACCTGAAATCTCGTTGACACCTCCATGGCACTTTGATCTTGTTCTCCTCTCACAGTGATGATGTGTGATTTGCTGAGTGGATCGCGCACTACCTGAGACAACACAGGCACCGTTTGTGTGCTGCATCATGTGTGGCTTTTGTTTTCTGGCTGGCTTTCATCTCATTCTGCTGTCTCCCTCGTTGAACAAAGCCCTATGAATGTTTTGGCTCAAAGTATTGTGCTTGTGTCATCGTTGGTCATGCGCTAAGTGTGACTGACATCTCTGTTCATTAAGAAGTGATGACACAGCTTGACTTGGAAGCCTGACCTGTCTGTTTTTCAAGCTGAAAAAAGGGATGACTTTCATATTAGGGTCAACTTTAAGGCACAGTTGTACATAAATACGTTTGCATTTATGTCTAGTGGGATAGTTTTGGTTTTATTGCCAAGACTGTGAGATATCTCTGTCTGAGATTTCATCTGCTCCAAATGAACCGAAGGATAATTTCATGATCTGTCTACTATGTTTACCTTTATAAAATCACATGCGCGTAACGCCAGGCAGAGTACAGTGTAACCCCATACATGACTCGGGGCTCTGATGGTTAAATGGGAGATCACAATGGCTCATCATTCATGTACTGCCCTCTTTACAGCTTTCCTTTTTGCAAAAATAGTATTTCATGCTTTATTGTTGAACTAAATTATGGTGGAAATGTAGCTGTATCACATTTTACAGTTATGAGAAAGAGTAGAAATAAAAGTGAAATAGTGTCAGATTAATGTGGCCTTGTACGGCACAGAGGTGTGAATCTCAGACACAATTTATTACACAGTTCAGTATGATTCATGGTATCTCTAATGGTCCATGCCTTCATAATGTTTTATTCTACTCAATGTGAAATAATATAGTATTATACACTTCAGGTATAGCACAAGTACTTTACTTCTGGCAAAGTCTCTTTAGTAAAACTGACCTAATCGTGGGTTAAACAAACAGAAATAGATGTTGGTTTGAACACAACCTTGGCATTTGCTCAGAGTGGTGGAAGGTAACTAAGTACATTTACTCAAGTGCTGTACTTAAGTACAATTTTGAGGCATCTTTCATTTACTTGAGTATTTTTATTTTCTGCTACTTCATACTTTGGCTTCACTACATATCAGAATCAGATGTTGTATTTTTAACTCCATTATTTTTATTTGATAACTTTAGTTACTAGTTACTTTTCAGAATTAGGTTTTAAAATATACACTATAGTCATAAGACCTTGTTTATTTCCTGGTGGAAAATTCACAAGCTACTTAGCAGCAATTCATAATATAAGGTGGTTAAAAATAGCTCCACTTTTACCAACTGCAGCATTAAATGTGATGTTGACAACAATGCATCAATAGTTATAGTGGACTATAAAATAATGGAGGGAATAACTTTGCTTCACATTTTTTGCCTCATATTTTCAAAAACCAGTAAACCCAGTTGTGAGTTATTGCTTACATAATACAGAGTTACTGACTCTGGAGCCTGGTGAAGGAGTGAGACGATTCTTATATAATGTGGACAAACTGGACAACTGACAGCTCTGAAATGGTCCAAAGAAGTTAAGTCAGTCTTTCCTTCAAGCAGTTGTTCCCTTTTTTGTAAGCATGCGTGTGTCTGTGTGTGTGCGTGTGTCACATGCTCTCCACAGTGAGTCTAGTGATCAGTGAGTCACACTGGAAGTCACACACTGATGACTGTGGTGGCGGAGACATACAAACATACAGTGGATTTACTATCATCTTGGGCCCCACATGAAGCTTAGAAATATGTCTGAGCATGAGTGTGCACGTTCTGGGTGCGCCACCTGTGACAGCTCAGCATCAAGA